ATTGACCAGCCCCATTTTTCTCATCGAGTCGTGAACTTTATCAGACAGCGGTAAAGCCTGCTGTGGTTTGGGGGTCTCCTGTAATCTTCTGGATGAGTCGATGTGCTCTTGGAGAAATCTTAGTATCCGAACAGCTCTAGGAAGGTTCGCCTCGTGCTCCGTGTTTTATTGGTTCATCAATCAGGGCTCTAATAAGACCCTTTCTAGGCCTTTGGAACCCTTTAGGAGAATGATGTACATCAACCACTTTGCTTGTCATCTGTTAAAGTTCTGTAGCTCAAAGCATGATGTGTTGCTTTTTGAGATCCTATATCCAATAAAAAGCTGTTATGTAGTGTTTTTACCTCCTAGTTCTACAGGTTTGGCAGTAATTGGGGTTTGGTGAGACTGAGAAAACGTGTTTGATGATCTCAAACATGTAACGGTGACCAAAAAAAAAAAAAAAAAGAGAGATGGCAAATTATCTTTTGATAGCACTGTAATTGTGGGTGAAAGTTTAAGGATCTTTCATTTTTTACTGGATGTTAACTACAGTAGTGTACCCTGTTCCTCATGAATATAAAAGAGAATTGATCAGCACACTCATCCAGGTGTGAAGCCGAACCCTTCAGACTGATGGGACGAGATGCTCGTCTGAAAGTGCTTCAAATGAACTGGAACCGATGCGATAGCGTAAGCTTGTCTATTATCTAGCCTGACAATAAACCAGAGGACGGAGGTTGAAAGATTAAACCGCCGTGGGACACAACTGATGGTGTGTGTATACCTTCAAACTCTTAACACAGATCCATAACACCATGACGTTTGAACAGCCAAGTCTTTGCCCGTCGTCCTGACTTCACCTCTCTCCTTTGTTTCAGAGAACCTTCTGCTCTCCATCTGAACCTGCAGCACATCCGTCAAACCCTGGATGCTTATTAAAGCAGGTTTTACTCCAGCATGTCAGGCGAGTTGCTGTAGCCTTTGGTAACCACTTTATTTTTTGCTTCTTTCTTGGATCTTTGTGTTGATCTTCCCTCAGCATCTGGTCTTTCCGCCGCAGGTTCACCAACCCTGCTCTGCTTTGATCATCCGTGGTGAGTTCGCCCTCACCCTCCTACCGGTTGTTGCCTTGCCAAATCTCCAGTTCCACGGGCTTATTTCAGGCTTTTGAGTTTCGCTTCCGTACTCCAGAGTCTTTAAACGTACAAACACGTTTTTATAATGAACACAAGGCTCTAAAAAAAAAAAAAAACATGTTCAAGAGATTGTGTCTCTTGAACATTTTTGATAATTGTTCACCAGCAAAGGCTGGGAAAGATTGGACATGTGCAGAGAAGGGAAGGTTCTTACACTGAACAAAGGACGATAAAAACGGACAATCGCACTTCCTTTGCAAAGTAAATCGATTTGGAGTGGGTTAAAAAAAGATAACCTTTTTCTACAATTCTAGGATAAGATCCGTCTGTAAATTTGCTCTGATCAGCTGGCTTGATAACGTACAAGTCAGAGACAAAAACAGGAAGGCGCGAGTAGTAAAAGTGGCTGGAAAAATCATGTGGACTAAATTAACGGTTTTAAAATAAATTTCTTTAAAGAGAATCACAAAAGGCGAAAGATTTTCTCTTCTCCTCTGATCGGCCACTTCATTGGCAACTGGCCATCTGGAAAGAGACGCACAAGGCCTAGTTCAAGGACCAACAGATGGAAAAACCATTGTCTTGTGAAGGCCATTATTCAGATCAATTTAGAATGTGATTTCTTTGGTCATATTATTTTTTAATTATATTTGTTCTGGAGTTATCTTTGCCATATTTGCCAATTGTGCTGAGTGATTGTTTCTGTTTTTGTGTTTTTGTTCATGTTTTTCATCTTAGGCAAGATTTTGTGCAAATAATTTAGAGCTATATATCCACAGAAAAACACAAACAGGCGAAAGACTGAACCACAAACACTCCTATGCTCCATGCCTTGCATCACCACTTAATGGGAACTTTCAGCTCGGCTTCCAGCTTTAATCTTTTATTCTTTTTTGCAAGTTTTTAGACTTTTAGGCATGATAATGAATGCTACCTTTCTGAAATACAGGTCCAAACACAATTTAAATGGAATACTGTTTTTATAAAAAACATAAAATATGTTCTCTGTCCTGTCAAGTTGATTCTAAAAATGTGGCTGTGAGGAAGTAACTCTTAAGAATAAACATCTGTTTAGCTGGGTTTGTATCCCCATTAGACGTTTCTTGACATGTTTCGGGAAATTATAGTTTTTGTTTTTTTACTTTCTTTTTTCTTTTGTTTTCATGTTTTACAGTTTTTGAATTATACAGACTGAACTAATATACTAATAATAGCATCTTGTTGGAAGATGGAAAATTAAGTAAAAAAATAAAACAAAGTGTAAGGCATTCAAGTAAAAGGCAATTACAATGATCAGACATTCAGGTAGATTTTCCATTTCTTACAATATTCCTTATATTTATCAGCTTTAAGTCTTAATAAAAAGGTCAGTCTCTCCATTCTGTGAATTTTGTTGATTTTTTCCTTCCATTCCAGAGACGATGGTGGATCCACATCTAACCACCAGCAAGTTCTGGCTTGCTTTGCCTCTACTAGTGATATTAATAGAAGATATCTGATATTTTTTCAGGTCTTGGTGTAAACTACATAAATAAACCACAGGTTATTTATGTAGAGTCACAGATAAAGTTTAGGTCCATCACGGAAATTATAATTAAAATTGACCTGAAAGGAGCAGAAAATTTGAAAGGTACCATTCCCGCCTTCATCACCAGTAAAGACTGGCCAAGTTCTAGAGTAATACCACCAGAGTAGCTGAATGGCTCTTGCCATGCACTTGAACATTCATTTAGAGTAAATGCTAAGAATTTAGCAACAGAAAAACAGACTTGTCCAAAAACTTTGGGCTTCCAGAGAAACTGAGCTTGGAGTATTCCACTCCAAGTTTTATTGGTGCTGAAAAGCGTCACGGATTCTCGGGGGCCTTCCCCTGCAGAGAGTCTTGAGTGGCTCTTTAATGGAAGCCCCAAAGGAATAAGAGAATGAAAGGCAGACAGCGTCTCTGTCTGAAGACTCACCTCGTTCTAATTGCCTCGACTCCTATCGATTACCTGAAGCCGCCTCACACCTTTTCCATGAGGCCCCTTTACACCGTGTGTAATCCCCGCTCAGAGCTTACACACCCGCTTTAGCCCCCATTGATCAAAGTCCGCTAAGGGACGGCCATCTTCGACGCGAGTCAGGTCATCTTTCAAATATGACGACTTAGAACTTTTCTTGGCAGAAAAATAGTGGAAAAACTGCTGGATTTGCAAGTGACCCAAGCAATTGACAAGCTGCCTCTAGACTTAAAGAGACAGTCCCTCAAACTGCTGTGTTTAACCAAAGTCCTCCCTTCACACACACATACACACCGACATTCGGCATGCAGCGCTGGACCTGAGCTTCCATCACCCGCCTCCTGACAGGCCCGGGGGTGTGTTTAAGGAGCAGCTTGATCCCCAGCACCTCTTCCCAGACATCCCACTGTCACAACACACACGCTTCCCGCCAATCACCCTCTTCCCTCTGTGTCTGGGTCCGTCCCCGAAGGGAATTAGGATGACTTCATTCCCATGCAATTAAATGCTCTTGCACAGTCTGGTCTACGGCCTTCCGGTGTGTGTGTGTGTGTGTGTGTGTGTGTGTGTGTGTGTGTGTTTGTGTATAGAAGATGCGATGGGAGATTCCTCGCAGACACTCAGAGTGGAGACTTGGAGCAAAAAGTGGGGGGTGGGTGGAGAAGTAACTGGATCTAATCTCTCTGAATCTCCTCATCGATTGGAGGAACTCTGGACTCGCGCGATAACGTCCGACTGTTGGAGTGGCTGCCACAGTTGGCAGTCCGGCTGCATCCCAGCTTAAGTCAGCTACTGTACCTTTTGGCTCCGGCTGCAGCTTATCTGCTGTCTGCTTGTTTAAATTCACCAGGGAACTGCAGCTGCCCATGAACAGAATGAGTGTTATTTTGATAGGGTCTGTGTGTGTGTGGCCAAAAGGCATCACAGAGAGAGAGAGAGAGAGAGAGAGAGAGACAGCAAAGATTTGAAAATTTGGAGTTTAATATCAAGTGGAATGCTGACGTGCAGAAGCAGTATGAGTGCTAACCTTTGCATTTCAGCAAACTTTGAAAAAATAAATAATTTTTTTGTTCCACAGCTGAAGAAAAGAGTTACTCCAGTCTTTTAAAAAAGGATTTTTAATAAACACAAAATCCCCAATGGATAACAATGGAATGCCTCCAATTAAGCTTCTTGTATTTTTTTGTAAAACGTCCCAGATAGAGCAACAGGTCTGTTCATTCATTCACCATAACTGTCACTGTGTGGGAGCCATTAACTACAGGTTCATGCCTCACTTCAACTCCAGTAATTTCTATTGTGCGTCATAGACTGAATCTAGTTTATACTGAACTTTTATAAACAGTGTTTGTAGAAGGGAACCATCACCATAGTTAAAATCTCTCACTAGCTATGTTTTTACCAATCGTCCTGCAAACTTTGAGCAAACTTTTAAAATAATGCAGAAAAAAAACAGGTCGTGCAAAGTGTAGCTTCGTCACATGTTGACGTTACGCCTGTGTTGTAATAAACAGGAAGTGGAGGCTGCAAGCCAGCATGGGTCACACAATGTCAGCAATGCGTCGCCATCGGAAAGTGGTACTAGTTCTGTCATCGGCGATGTTACATGCCATTTGGAGATGTAGAGAAAGAAATACAATTCCATTGAACTCTGACAGTGGAAACAGGTAAATGTTTGTGATGTCAGAATCTACTAAGCAGTTTTGTTTCCATTTCTCTTTTCGTGCAGTATCTCTTTTTCTGAAGAGCCAAAAACCACCTTAAACGAGACCAAAAACGTTTTTTCAAAACTAAGCAATTTTGTAGTTCAACCTTTTCTAATGTGACACTTCAAAACGCGCAAGGCAAAACAATGGAAACGCGGCCAGCGTGTCAAGTTGACTCTGGGTTTTGAGACAAATGAAATCTCCTACCTTCTTCTTGTTGGTTGGACAGATGTAGAAACTGGTCACCACGATGGTTGTCCCTGGAATCAGGTTGAGTTTGGTGTAGGTCGTCCCATAATCAGTGGACCTGAAAGACAATCGACAAAATAAGAAGCGGGGAGTCGGTCAGTTAATTTGGTGAGAAGTTTACATTCCATCACAGACATTTTAGGCCTTTTAATGGCGTTTCTTTCCGTATTCATTTCAGCTGGTTTATTTCAAAGCTTCAAAGCTTCAAAGCATGGGTCATGTTTCATCGTTTTGTCATGGTTTTAGGAAAGGTCGTTACGGTGTTTTGATGCTGCCAGGTTTTATCAACTGATCTAACCTGTTTTGCGCTTGGAGTCACCAATTTAAGGTAAAGTTATCAATGAAGCCATTGATCTCTTACAGTTCACCCATAAACAGTAAGAGCCTGATGCCACCACCACCATGCTTGACAGTGATTAGATATTATGCTTAAAACCTCATATTTACTTCTCCAAGCATGTCACTGAGGCCAAATAATAGAATAATCCGTCTCCTTAGTCCAAACAGGTATTTGAGTTTTCCCTTTGGAAAGGTAGGTTTTGGTAGGAATTTTCAAGCAGCATTTTGTTTCTTCGTCAGGACTCTAGTAGGAGGCAAATGCTCATGAAGTTCCTGGGACTCTAATCATTGACTCTGGTGTTTTCATTTTACCAGGCTTGAGATTTGGTTAACCGTCTCAACCCACTATGTTTCATCTGAGGGAAGAATTTGGATCGTCACAAAGTAGTAATGCTTGAATACCAAACTTGTAGCAAAGTATAGTTATTTCAACTGTACTTTTCTAAGGTAATGGTTGCAAAAGGCTTTGCCAACTTGTGTAAACTCCCTGAAGTTCCCAGGACTCTCCAGTTGTTGTAGAAATGTTTTATTACAAGCAAATGAATCTCGTTGTTGGCATTTTCAAGGTTTAAGACATTTCTAAACCTTCCAATTCTCGTAAAATAGCTTCAATTCGATGCATAATCAACCTGCCTTTAGAAAAGAGCAGCTAGAGTAAATTAGAAAAATTCCTAAATTAATGTGACATTCTTGTCCATAATGAGACTGAATCTGAGCTTTTCCAATGTCCTTGTTAATTACATGACATCACAAGGTTTATCTAAATAGTTTTTTTTTCTAGTTTGACTGAAGCAAATGTTGATTTATAATGAGGATTTGGAACCTTTCGTTGTTCCATTAGCCCCTGAACAGTTCTATCAGGCAGCTGTGCCTCCACTAGAGCCCTTCAGATGGACGGATCTACAGCAGGCCGGTGAAAGACTTGACCTACTTGTTCTCTCAAACTGCCCTGGAGGCTAACCCCACATCAGCTCCCCATTCACCACATTACTGGTTTATGTTCTGCAGGCTGATCGTGGTGACAAATCAGGTACGCCTGGTCAAACTGTGATTGCCCCAGCGACGCATAAACGGCCCCTGGCTGGCTATAAGGTACTGACCGGTCCTCAGATCTGGCAGCTTTAGAAGCAGATGTCGAGTGTTGTGTGGATGTGAGATTGATGGCCAGGCGCTGAAATGGTTCTGAAGTCGCACTCCCGTGCACCCAACAAAAGGGAAATAAATGTTTAAGCAGGTTTTTCAGCCCAGAAAATGTGAGATGATCATAAATTGATAACGATATAAATTGTTTAACTTGCCGTAAATAGCTCTGAAAAACAGACATCTTGTCTTTTTGCTTTTAGTTACACGTTCCAGATCAAACAAGACATTTTAATTTCAAAGATGACATGAGAAAACACACTTCAGTTTGTTTTTTTTTTAATCAAGGTTAAATTTTTAAGTGGAAAATGGCCTTGTGTTAGAACAAAAGTAACTGAGTCAATAAAGTTAATGACATGTTGCACCATCCTTGGTGAAAACAACTCCCATCAAGCTTTTTTGATAACTGGTAGTGAATTATAGAATGTCAAGTAAAAATATGCCACATCATTTCAATCTGAATTAAGTCCATACTTTGACTGTGCCACTACAAAACCTTTGCTGTTTTTTGTTTGAGTCACTCAAAAGTGGACTTAAGGTCCCGAACTGATGAAAGGACATTCACCGTCAGAATTTTCTGGTGCAAAGTGGAATTTATAGCTCAAAGTAGCTCAAAACCATCATACTACCACCACCATGTTTGACTGTTGGTATGAAAACCACTCTTTGAAAAGCTGAGCTAGTTTAATATCTCACCTTCCAGTGAGCATCATCATCAAGATGTCCTTTTTGTAAATGTGAGACAAGTCTGTTATTTCTGGTTAGGATTGGTTTTACCGTTGGATTTTGGCTCAGTTTCTTCCTCACAGTAGAATGATGTTCTTCAGCGTTCTTTTGTGACCTCCTGGAGGAAGTTGTTGATGTGCTCCTGGAGTAATTTTAGCAGATTAATCACAGTTATTCATACTTCATAAAGGGAGATCACGTTCCGAGTTAGAGCCAGTTTGCTCTTAATAAAGCTGTTTTGCTTAATAAATGAAATCGTTGTTTGAAAACTGCAACCTTTAATCAAATTATCTTTGTCTGCCAATAACATATGTTTGATTACTTGAAGAAAAAACTTTGATACTACACATTGTGTTTGATGAAGAAAACGGCTTTTGAGAACATTCACTTCATGTAATAAGGCAAACAAGACAGATCAAGTAGAAAACGAGCGATTACAGCTGGTTAGAGCCTGAACGTAGCTGGAGAGCAATACGGAGATAGGAATCGATAAATACAAACGTGTTTCTTGTGCAGTTTTGACAGCTTTAAAGGACTGATTTTAAAAGCACTCGAGGGAACACGGGAGAGAAAAAGCTGCAATGTTTATCTTTGGGTCAAGGGTCCGGCAGGAGGGGGGCCTCGGACGGAGAGGTCTTGATGAAAGAGAACGAGGAGCTGGCACATCAGCCTGGTTAAGGATGAGAGGATTTTCTCCTTTACACAGTAGGACGCCAGTCGCTGACAGACACTCGCACACACACGCCGAGACACAAACACACTCGAAGCCCTGTTGAGCCGTTCTGCAATCAGCTCTCCCAGAGAGCTGCGGCGCGGCAGCAGAAAACAGTTACTTAGCAGGGGAGAGACGTTTCTCTGCGGTGAGCCGCCGAGTGTTTTCATCTGCCCAGAAGCCGGCGTGTGTGTGCGTGTGTGTGGTGTTTAACCTGAGATCAGTCGGAGGACGCGGACAGGATCACTGAATGATGGCTGAGTTAGCAGAGAGGAGCAGAGCTTTGTGCTTATCTCTGGAAACCCACTTGTGGACAGAGTGAAAGAGCTCCAGGGCGAGTGTGCAGAGAGGTCTGCTCAGGTGCAAGACGGTTTTAGAGGAAGTGTGTGAGATCCTGACTGGGCTGGCAGATTTAGTACCAACGAGCTGGGAGGACTGGAGTAAAGGGCCATAAGAATCATGAATAGAAAGAACTGCGTCGTGTATTCAGTGCCGTATAAAACTATCCAGATCCTATGAATATTTTTACACTTCCTCGCATAACTACAAATTCTTTTTACGCATTTTATTTGGATTTTTGTGAGAGATCAACACAAAGTAGTTCATAACTTCAAAATTGAGGATTTTTTTTTTTGCTTGTTTTTTAAAGTAAATGATAATCTAAAAAGTGTGGTATGCATTTGTCCAGTGGTGGGAAAACATCTGATAGACTGCTAACACACTAACAGTAAAGCTAATTTTTCATTTAGCGCTTTAGCTAACTCTGAAAACATTTTGAGCGCTTAGCTTCCTCTAAAGTAACATAGTAAGGTAAATTCTAAAGCGCTAGTTCACCTGGCTGTTTTGTAAAATATCTGTTGAATAAACTTTGACATCTTTGTTAACGTTTTGGTTATCGACTTTTAAGGATTCCTTATGCTCTTATTTTGAAGTGGTTGAACCCGGAGCAGTTCCACTTCCTCTGCTCATGTTCTCCAGGTGTGTGGCGTTGCAGCGAATGACATTTTTCTGTACCCAGAATGCATTGCTGTAGAGTTACAGCCTGTCGTTATACATTAAACAGTTTTACTACTGTTCTCTGTGTTTTCTGACTGAAGCCCAATAACAGGTCGAAAGTCGGTTATAATATAACAAAATGTGAAAATATTCAAGGCTTATAAATATGTTTTATATAGTTGTATCATTTCCCTGTCCATTTCCATCTTGACTTACTAATATGCGTGATTCTTATGCATAATTTAGATCACAAAATAGAATGTTATATATTTATGACATAAAAAAAATTGTTTATTTCAAGAGTATAATAGTGTAAAAATATTCCACAAGTATGAAAGCTTCTCTCAAATGGGATTTGATATTCAGGATTTGTTGCTACTATTGACCCCATTACATTAGCTGCACTCTTGTCTTTCATTGTTAAAATTGAAATATTGATTAAAATAAGCCTTCTAACCCTCCTGGGAGTTGTTAGCCAATATATATTATCCAACACTTTTCTTTAGAGCCATCCAGAAGGACCGGAGGAACCCCTAAAAGCTGTATTAAAATGTATTCATCCACAAAACGCAGTCTAGAGTGGAGCATCTGCCTTTTGGGCCGATGACTCTGTGTTAGAGTGCATGGCATCCATCATGAAGCATCTAAGCATTTAAAGGGGAAATGAGTTGTCATTGGGTGCTTCAACATCATCCATCCTCTTGCGACTAATCTGGGATTGAGAAACAGACCGCAGATGCTTCATAGAGGGTTCCCTCTCTTAAGCCACTTTGGCCAACTCAAATCACTTGGTAACCCCAAGTCTTTCCCATTCCAGTCAAGAAACATTGTCCCTCCAGTTTGTCTTCTGGGTCTCCTCTCAGTGGGTTGTACCCAGGAGCCATCCTAACCACCTGAACTGGCTCCTCTCAAAGCAGATATGCAGAAGATCAACTCTGAGTCCCTTCTTATCTTTAAGGGAGAACCCAGGCACCCTGTGGCGGGAACTCATTTCGGCCACTTGTATCCTCAGTCTTGTTCTTTTGTTCCCCATCCACAGCTTGTGGATAGATAACAGAGGAAACATAGATTAAATGGTAAACGTCTTCGCAACAACACAATGAACTAATCCACCTATCAATGTCCCACTCAATTTTTTTCTCATT